TGAAGCCATATCTCTGAGTTTTGAGTGGGCGCATGTCGCCAGTGTGCTGTGTTACTGTTTACATGTGTGAAAAGTGTGTTTGAAAACGAGTCTGATTGCAAAAGGAAACAAGCAGGAAAAAAAAAAAAAAAAAACGACTAAAAACAAACAGAAGTGCTCTGCCTCCACGAGTTAAAACCTGAACCCATAACTTTCTGCTGTCAGACACTATACTATGCAAGGCTATAAGGCCTGGACTCCACAGGAAAAGGGTTGGAAGTGACGATTTTCAGGTTTCCGTGGAAGGGTGTCTGGAAGAGTTTGCCTGCGGAACGACAGGACCCCACCGCAGAGGTTGGAAAAGCCAGTTTCCACGAGCCTGGAAAGGCTGGAAACTGGAGATGGACCGATGGCGGTCGCTGATGTCCATTCGAAGGGTTTTTGTTCCTGTTTCGTTTGTCCGCTCATAGGTGGGGACCCGTTAATGAGTGACAACAGCATGTCCGTCGCCCTGGCCATTGAACCAGGGATCGGCTTGGCTCAGACTATGGATGGACCAGCGGGTCACCGATGAGTTTCCAACAAGGACATGCCCCCCCCCCCCCCACTCTCTGGGAAGGGCACAAAATTCCGCTGGAAACTCCTCCCGTGGCACTTTTCCGACCGGAAACCAATGTGAAAACACAAAATCTCGGATTTCCAGCTACTGTTTTCCAGGCGGTGGGGTCCCGGAACACCTCCTCGCCCTCCTAAAATCGGCTTTCCAGAGGGCCTGATTTGTCCAGTGGAGTCCGAGAAAAGTTTTTCCACACCGGTTTTTCCACGATTTTTCCCTGTGGGGTCCAGGCCTAAGTTTACACAAGGATCTCCCATCAGCATATCATATTCAACTCTCGGGTGTCGTGGGTGTGAAAAGGCCACAACCCCCTATAGAATTTAGTTGAAATCATTCGGCCACATGGGGGTCAGATAAATAAGCTTCTTAGCTTGACCAAGTGAAAGCCATATCTCCCTCAATAATACCTTCCCCCCCTTGGAAACCCCCTTTTAAAAAAAACTGCGCCTTCAAAGTTTTAATGCGGATTTTGACGGATCTCAAATAGCCCAGTCGGAATCCATGGAAGGAAAAAAAAGGAAAAAAAAAAACACTTTTTTAAGTTCTTTTTTTTTATACCGGTTTTACCGGTTCACCTCGCCCTGGGCCGGTCCGGCCCCGGTCGAACCGGGCGAGCTGAACCGGCCGGTTGCCGGCCCAGTCTTCCCAGAAAGCCAATTTCCGACTGTCGGGGGGAGCGGTGGTCTAAAATGGAAATTTGGTAAGCATTGCATTCATATTGTTTGGTTGTTGAATCGGATTTTTCTTTGACGCATTCAAATAATTTCATATTTGTGTGTCAGTTAACATCTGTTGCCATCGTTACAACTGTGTATGTTTGTGGATCTGTATGTATGTATGTATGGTATGTACGCATGTATGTATGCATGGATGGATGGATGGATACCTGGATGCATGTATGTATGTATATATGTATGTATGCATGCATTATGCATGCATGCATACATGCATGCATGTATGTATGTATGTATGCATACATGCACGCATGTATGTATGCATCTGTGCTGTGCGTTCTCTAAGCACAACTCCAAGGAAAAAAGGAACGGTTGCGACATTCTCTTTCATCGAAAATTCAGTTTTGTGTATGTATAGTTTGTCTGTATGTATGTATGTATGTGCGTATGATACAGTCATGCGTGTGTTTTAAATTATCATCAATCCCTTTTCCACACAGATGCATAGATATCGTAAGCGGAAGTATTATGATGATAATCATGATATCATGCATGTGTGTGTATATGTACGTATGGACTTGTGATTGTGCATGTGTGGACTCCAGATACTGCTGCCCCTATCTCGGACATATTCACAAGGGTGACCGATCCCACATTCATGTCGGATCTGAACACGGTAGGACCATTTCATCTGTCGGCAATTGATGTACACGGAGTGACACCCATGCTATATAATGCCACTGATAATGCCACCTACATGGCACCTTACATACAGGGCCCAGTGACTGCCCGGTTATTTGAAGCGGCAACTCTGCTATGGCTGTGCAAATTGGACATGGGCGCCTGGATGGTCTGCGGACCTACTGTAAATAGGACATACGTGATCCCAGGTTCTCACAGCATGTTTGTCCGGGCTCTGGACCTGGCTGGTAACATAGAGCTGAACCCGACAGTAACCAGCTTTACTTTGGAGGGACACTTGGAAGGAGGTGGCTGCAACTTCCGGTACTCCCATGATGGGTCTTCTCTGCGACGATTGAATGGGAGTTCGCTGACACTATCTGATTTGGCTGATACTGGTTCGACTCCACATAACCTGTCTGTTCTGGCGATTGACGCTTATGGAAACTTCAATAAAAGTGCAATGGCTACCTACTACTGGTATACAGGTATCTCTCTCCCTCTCTCTCTCTCTCTC